ATTAAAGCCATCAGTGCTGCCTTTAGTTTGAACACCTCAAAATTAGAGTCCAGTTGGGAGAAAGAAAGAAAAAAAAAAGAGTTCAGCCAACACTGTCTTGATAAATTACAGCTATGAACACTAGAGATGGTTAATTTAGTTGGCAACACAGAAAAGAGAGTTTAATCTGGGCTTTCACTGTGTGTGGGCACTTTCTGAAGACGTTCAGTACAATAAAATACAGTCAGGGGAACCTCATTTCAAACTGTAGCATCAGATTCACAGGGTGAAGTGAGCACAAAGAATTAATTCACTTACATTTGGTAAAATAAATTGACTGAAATGATAAGTTTCTCAGCCATTGCGTTCTTGTTATTGTGTTGTCTGTTTAATTTGTTAGCAACTAGAAGGAGGCAGAAACATGTTCACATTGTCCTTTGGCAGATGTTTCCACTCATTTAGCCGAAGATACTCCAGGGGGTAAGAAGATATTCATGAGATGAGAAGATGAGTTTTACACTCAAGTTCCTTTGTTACTGCAATCCTAAAGACCCAGGGGCCTGGCACTGCAGCTTCACTTGTTGTGGTGACATGTCATTAGTGCAGGGTGGTTAAAATCACTGCCTTACACAATTAATTAATTGTCACGTTAGAGTAAAAACTTCTATATATATATATTGGGATTGTCTGTGATAGAACTACACAAAGTATTACATTACTGTGACATGGAAGGAAAAGGATAAAACATATATAAAAGTGCAGGCTTTATTCAACTCTGTCTACTCTGAAAGACGTGGCTGTCCACCTAAACTAACAGAACAGGCATGGGACATTTAATCTGTATATCTATCTATATAGATTATTACCATTTTGCAAGACGTGATGTTGGCAGCATCATGTTGTGGCGTTGAACTTAAACCTAGTGCATGACCAGAGCTAAAATGGGACTGCTCACTGCATTTCTGTGTGTCAGAATGGCCCAGTCAAAGGTCACACCGTAATCCAGTTGATAATCTGTGGTATTGCTTGAACATTGATGTGCACAGGTGCTGTTTCTGAGCTTTAGTTATTATACAAAGAAGAATGGGGAACATTTTCAGCTTTTGGATGCATGAAGCTGGTAGAGACGTACCCAGACTTGCAGCACTAACTGTAAGGTGCTTCTACAGCATGTCACAAAGTTAAAAGGCAATAAACTCCTACATTTATAATGATGATAATGCTTATGAAGTCATTTATAGGTCCATTATTTTACATTTTCATGCTTCCCTACTAAAATTTCCTTTGAATGGGTCCTGAACACATGCAGTAAAAAGGTTTCATAAGCCCTTTGCTGAAGGTTTTTACTATCCTTCAGTGAAGTTGTGATGTTTGTCTCTGAATATGTTGCATAATGTTTCCCTATAGCAGATGTTTCCCTGCAAAATGGGTCAGATTTCATCCAGACACAATGAGAATCCTGGCGGATGTGAACAGCATACTGAGAAGGAGAGTTTCGCACTGTGGGAACACTGAGCTCCCGAGCTTTACTGCTGCAGCTCACATCTGACAATACAGGTGTAGAGCTTTTTTTTTTCTGGTTGTAAAGTTTAACATCATCCAAGTCAAATATCAGCTATTTATCAGGGTTATTAGTGTTACATTGTTAAGATGTGGAACCACGACTGTTTTTATGGAAACTGACAAACTGCTCCCAAAGTTTTGATTTGTGTGCTCAAAATAGTTTATAAAGAGGGAATACTTTTTTGAACTGGAAGAATAGCAACAGAAAGAGGTGAGAAATGAACAGCATATTTGACGTATTGTGTTGTTTACACTGGGTTAAAGTCAGTCTCGTCTTCAGCGCAGCCCTTTTTGGATTTGTTCTCCAATTAACTGAGCATGTCTCTCAAAGGGGGGGCACCGACAGGAAGACTGAGCAGCCAGTAATTAGTCTTCTCTCTCCCCAGGACATGACAGAAGCCTTAACACATGGGGCCGTCGGGGAGACGAATAAAAGCAGAAGCCACATCCTTCCTCCCAGAGGGGGCAGGTGCAGTCATCCTGCTGGCTGTCGAGCATGAGAGCGCCGTGCTGCGCATCGCATTGCTGCTGCTTAGCAGTTTGCAGAGGACATGTTACCTTTGCTGTTAATACGGGAAAACTTTGGCAAATATGGGAAAGCAGAAATGTGCACACTTGACAGTCCTAGCTATTTGAGATGCATAAACGTTTTTGAAATGGGGCGTCGTCGTTTCTGCATCAACATATTCTAATGCTGGAAACATTAGAAACATTTGTTGTTTAATTTATTCAGAAGTGAAGAGAAAATCCAGCATTAATTTTTTAAAGTAACCTTGTGTGTTTTGTGTTTTTTTCAGCCATGTAGTGCTACTTTATAGCACAACCAAATAACTATGTTTCCTTCAGGTGTTATAAAAAGGCTGCATATATGGAATATGACTTAAAAAACTGTAATTTAACGCCTTGAAATTGGGCATATATGTCTATGTCATCACAACATCGCCCCTCTACAAACCCTTTAACAACATTTTTACCTACGTTGCACTGAGAAGAAGCTCACATAATGAGCTCAGCAGATGCGCAGTACCATCAGGTGTTTGCTGATTGCTACTGGCTAGTCTGAAGGAGCTGGGAGGGAGAAGCTTGGATACTTGGAAATGCTCAAGGTGGAGCTGTGGCTTGAAGGTGGTACTAGATCCACCCAGGCATTTTGCACAGCTGAGTCCTTTTCTCCAATTCTCCACAATATTGAACATGCACTACCTCACAGGTTTTAGGCCCATGACAGGCATTGGAAGATGGTTGGTTTTGTGTCTAATGGAGCATTTCTCTTCTGTGTGTTTCATGACAGAGTATAGATTTTTATTTAACATTTCCTGGTGTTTCAAAGAGCTGATAATACCATGCACTCGAACAAGGTTCCCTGTATACTTTGGAGGAAAACAGCTTCGGGTATGGTTATTTTCTGGGACTTGTAAGTGATGCCACTTATTTCTAGCACCAGTGTTGTTTCAAAACAATTATTTCTTCATGTAAGAGTTCCTTTTTCCACCGCTGAATAATTTTGCTTGAATGAAGGTTGATAAACATTTTAATATGAGAATATGCATTACAGGTCCATCAGTTACATATCTTTCCCCAAACATATCGCAAAAAAAGACAGCTACTTATGCCTGTAGAGCACAAGAGCAACAGAAAAAAAAAACCTCACCTTATTAACATGTGAAAAGAGAGAATGAAATCAGTTCGCAAATCTGTTAACAAGTTACCGTGCATCCTAAAAAGGATCTTGTTTGGACATCTGCAGCATCTCAGGGTTTAGTTTCATGCTTGAGGGGAGAGCTGCTAACCCTCACAGATGCTGCAGTTAATAAAAGAACATAAAGAAATTAAATCCTACAGCTGAGTGGCGACTCATTCTGCCGTGTTGCTCTGCAGTGTAGCTACAACTGTCCTCTGGCGGTAATTGCAGCTGAAACCTTCTGTGATGGAAACAAGATTCCCCCTTAAACAAGGGATTAATTGTAGTCTACCAGGCACTGCGGTTTTGCTGGCACCGTACCGAACTGCACTGGCCAACACATTCTCTTGCACTCATACCCCCATCCTCCAAGCCTTAGCAAATTAATGATCATCTGGTTGAACAAAGAGACAATTGTTAAACGCTAAAATAAATCTGTTACACAGATTATGAACCATCATGATTGCCTTATTTTTCTTATTTACATTTTGCATCATCTGTATGTGTTTTGTTTTTTTTGGTAGCATTTCTATGTTATGTACGCTTAAGCAGAAGTTCTGGACGTTTAACAAAAATATGCAAGGGTAAATGTACGGTAAAAAGGTAGTATGCCCTCATGTGAACTCTTAAAAGTGTAGGCTTTACAAATGTTTCATGAACTTGGCTTTGACTTTCTTCATAAATGAAGACAGTGTGAAATGTGTCAAGTGTGATTTTGTCCACTTGAGGTGAAATCATTTTTGAACACAGAATACGTTTATATGGATGAGTGTACTTTCTTTTTATCGTGACTAACTATATAAACAATAGATACCTAGCAATAATTAAAAAGTGCAAATCTAGAAAAACTGACTGGAATGACTAATTTAAAATATTTTAAGACAAATACTAGATGAAACATTTTGAGAGGAGAGGAGAGAAATTGGCTGGCGTTTGTTGACTGCCTTTGTCCACTGTCCCACCTTTTAGCCGAAGACGACAAACGGAGATGGCAGTTTGTGTCCAAAGTAAAACAAACAAGCAAAAACCAAACAAGAAATGAATGAGTCTGTGGATAGGATCCATGCATAATGAGAATGAAAAGGCAGGTGAGTCCATCATCTGGACTCAAAATATGATATTTTCCTGGGTAAGTAGTACATCTACTTACCTCGGTATGTCTCATACCATTAGTCAAAAAACTTGAATAAAAATACATTAAATAAATAAATATTTGCTTTTAATGTTTAAAACAGGACACTGTTTTTTTCTCAGAAGTAATGATTGTTTTATAGGTGAAAGAATCTTAGAAATCTCTGCATCCATTTTTTTTAGCATAAAGGCCAAACATCGAGTATAAACAAATATTGTGAAATTGGTCTGAGCCTTTAATCTTTATTCAACATGTTTAAATAAAAAAACAAACAAACATTTGATTACTTTATTTTCTTCCACAACACAACAATGTAACGTCCTAAAAATATGACCTGTAATTTAGATGTAGTTTTATAGGTTGTTCTGGTTTGCATGTTTGTTTTCAAACAGTTGCTATTGATTTGCTCATTCATCTCTTTTCATTGTTTAGTGGAAGAAGCGCTGGTGGTCATAGATCCAAAAATATAGCAATGACAAATCCCACGTGGCTCTGCGCAGATAAATAAAGCCAAACTAGATGCTGCTGCTGCTGCTCTGTTGCCTGGTGAGCGTGAGCGCGCACGGGTGAGGGAGAAACAGAGAGAGAGAGAGAGAGAGCTGTCGTGAACGCGCCAGCCTATGTGTTGGTTGGAGAGAGAGAGAGAGAGAGAGAGAGAGAGTGTGTATGTATGTGTGAGTGGGAGCAGAAGCAGAGACTCTGCAGTGTCTTGGCAGCTGCAGCAGTGCATCTCCCACCACCGTCCACGATGCCTCCACGGATGATTCCCGCCTCCTCCGCCTTCACCTGACCGCAGAAAGACATGAAGTCGTCGGGAAACTGATCCGGACGTTCACACTTGCTCGCTGTCTGTATGCCCCCCCACCTCCTTCCCTTCCGACACCCACCAGGAGTCAGTCAGGAGAGCTTCTTCCACGCACCCGTAGCCGTTTGGCGAGAATTTTGTTTTATTGTATTTTTTATTATTATTTTTTTTAATGGAAAATGGCGATAGGAAAAAAACCTCGCAGCATCCTCTGCTTAGTATCAGTCCAAGTCCTCCTGATTTTCAGCGCGTCGTGGCCTGGAGCAGAGGGTCTCACATTCCCACAGCAATACACGTAAGTAAACCTGACTGGGAAAGGCAGCGTCTGATATGAGACAACTTTGAGCTTCACCACTCAAAGAGATGTAACTCTGTCACTCTTCTTCGTTTTCTGCTGTTACATAATTGCATGGTGTGTTGTTGGTGACTTCCACTAATGTGCACGCAGTGCTCTGAAAGGTGTTGTCCACACTGTGGCTCAGCACACAGCAGAGATCTTTAAGCACCATTTGCATGAATGTGTGAGCAACAAGATGCCAGGCATGCAGACAAACCTCATAAAGTCAGTTTATTAAGTTTGATCTAGTTTAGTTTAATCTTTCCCGTGATTTATTACCATAAGATGAGAGATAGCTTTGATTATTGGCTGATCTGAAGCTCCTCTGGCATTTAGCCTCCTGCTAGAGTTTGAAATATTCCTGATAAATCCATTTTAGTTAAGTCTGGGAGACGCTGTTTTGATCGATTTAGATTCCGAGACAAAACTTAGATTTTGTGCAGCTGTAAAACTTAAAAAGAAATGTGGAAAGCAAATTTTTCATTACGTTGCTTGATCTAAAAGCTTTTCGATGCTCAAGAAAGATGTGTTTTTCCTCCCCTCTTCCTGCTGAAAACTGCTCCCGGAAGACCATTCCCTTGTTTTCTTCCCTTTTTGCCAAAAGTCAACCTCTGCTCTTCGTTCCCAACCTTTAACTCATCGCCGTTGAGTGCAGCTGGGGGCTCGCTTTGGACTGCAGTTCTCTGTCGGCCCTCCTCCAGGCTCAACAATCGGGCAGCTCTGGAGAGAGGAAGTGAGCAGATGGTCAACTCATCTTCAGGGTTCATGGTGAAGGATTTCTGGCCAATCACAACTGGAGATCCGAGGTGTATTTACCAATTAGAACAGGGGGCTGTAAATCCTGGGGTTGTTGGCGACTGACGGTGTGTGTGAGAGAGTTTTATGATGAATTAGAGTGTTGGAAATAGTGTGTAGTCACGGCTTTCTCTTCCTCCTCCCCTTGCTTGTGATGGTTTTTCTGCTGAGTGCTCTAAAACAGCTACACAGCCCTGCACCCAGGGTGTCTTCATGTAAGCAAAATGAAGCAGAGCTGCTTCTATGAAGATCCACCATCCTTGCACATAGATAGATAGATAGATAGATAGATAGATAGATAGATAGATAGATAGATAGATAGATAGATAGATAGATAGATAGATAGATAGATAGATAGAGCAAGCTGTGACTTTATTTTTAGGGTTGTGCTGTGGAAGGTGAACCTCTGCCCCAATTTTCAATATGCTGACTACTCCCAAGACTGCCTCGTGGAGCATCTGTCTTCCCAGTAGCTCTGACCAGATTCTGCTGGTCAGAGACCAGTGGACTTTTTCATTCACTCGTTCAGAAAGCCAGAGATGCTGAGTGCAATACTAATAGTTCTCCACAACTTTCTGTTAAACCGGCTGCTGTGTTTCTTGGTCTTCATGATGCTGTTTGTTCAATAATGTTCTCAGATAAACCAGTAAGGAATCCAGATTGATACTGGGATTAAATAACACACAGGTGAATAGTTATGTGACTTCTGAGGGGTTATGGTTTATTTGAGGGCATCAGTGGATACATGTGAATATTTTTGAATTAATGTGGTAATAATTAGATTTAGAAATTGTTTATGTGTGACCTATTTTTCAATATTAGATCTAATACTGTAAAATGAAAATGACAGACAATATACTCATTTGCATTAATTGAAAAAAAAATCTCCTTCATAATGTTAAAACTATACATAATAACGTATAAATCTGCTAAGCCTCAATAGGAGTTGTTGTGACTCAGGTATTGAGTGGTTGTTCCAATAATTGCAAGGCAGGAGCTTTTTGTTGAAATCAGATGCTTTAATTAGAATAAATTAGTTGTGATAGCAGGATTTAATACATTTTCTTAATCTGGTGGAAATGTAACATTTAGTTCCTATGTCCCTCAAGCCCAAGGGCGGAAGTGCATTAGAAACAAAAAGTGACTCTGTTTTTCTTTTTAGAGTGGGCCACTTCTAAAAAAGTCATTGCAACAAACACTACAAAAACAATACAAACAAGATTCAAAACTCCTTTGTTTTGTGTTCTGGAGTGGAGATAAGGATTCCCCATTAACAATAATGACTGGAGCTGTAGTGAGATTACGGTGCTGTTGAGAGTCTGGAGAGATAGAATGATGCTCTGAAAAGAAGAGGTGTGAAAGTCAATAGAAACAGGACAAATATATTTGGGCTTGAATTATTGAACATGAAGATGAAGGATTTTAACTATTGAAAGTGGACGAGTTCAAGTAGTTGAGATCAACCATTCAAAACAAAAGGTACTTCACAAAAAAGGTAGAAGAGAAGAATCCAAACAGGCTAAAAGAATTAGTAGATGGATGCATGTCAGAGGTCATTTATTAAAGAAAGATAGCAGCATCAGTGGAAGAATATGTTTTCAAAATGATAGTCATACTTGCTATGACATATGACAAACCTGGAGTGAGGATGCGCCGATCCACTGTTTTCACTTTCGATAGCGATGCAGTTACCTGAGGTTTAGTATCGTCCGATTTCGATCGAATACAGAGAAACAGTGCAGTGAAGCAAACTACACACAGAGAGACATCTTATGAGATGCTGGATAAAAGAATAGTTTAGAGTCAGAAAAGAGAAAGACCATCTGCAGGGGTTGGTTTCGAAAAGCATTATGCTCATCTAATAACTTATAATAATATTAATTTCCAAAATATTAGAAACCCAAATGCCAGACATAGCTGGAGGTAGGGCTACTTCTGTCTGATTATTAAAATGCATTTACAATAAGAACTAAAATTATGTCACATTTACAAGTGAACCTGTTTTAGATGCTGAGTTTTTACACATGTTGCCTGCCTGCTAAAATAACCCACTTGTGGGTTTTATGATGATATTACTTAAGTACAAAATGTGCGATGAATTTGTGATATTCAACACTGAAATGTTTGGAATTTAATTAATGACTTGCATAAAGATTTTTTTCATTAAATTAAGTCAGATCTCCTCTTTAGTTTTATCCCTATGTATGCTTTCAAGGTTTTAACTGTGCCGTTCATTCATGTATTATTCATAACCAGATCTCTATCGCATTTTATTCCTAGAAAATAGGAAAAAAAGAGATTATTTTTCATCTTTTGACTATATACCCAGCCTCGGTGATCTGTCTCTATTGTAAAATGCTTTATATTTAAAATGTTACAAAGATAACATCAGTGTATTTTGAGCGTATGATTGGGCTTTGTACAATTTTACAGTCATGTTCAGATGAAAAATGCCAGTGTACAAACTATTTTAACAGATAAAAACATTTAAGGTAAGGTAATTATTTTTTTATATAAGTAATTCGGCTGCAAGATATTGTCACAAGGCACAGAGTGGAGAACTCTTACGCAAGACTCAACAAAGTGGCATAAATTCACAAAGGCAGAGACAAGTCCAAAAATACAAGCTGGGTCACAACGACTTGAGCACAGCGCTAGGATTACAGCAAAGAATTTGAGATGAAGATGAACGACTAAGCGTGAGTTGGCAGATTGAGGTATAAATAGACAAACAAAGGAAGACAATGAGACATTGGTGGATATCGTTACGGTACGGCAGAGGCTGATAGCAGGTGGGAATCGCAGGAGGTGAAGTTGTCTGGAACGAAACAGGAAATGAGTGCCAAAATCAAACAGGAAGTTCCAAAAGAAAACAAAACCAGACACACAACTGCAAAACACTTCAGCAACACAGCTGGAGATGACAGATGTGTAATACTGATTCGGTTTCACTTGAGTGTAGGGTTTACACCTCCATTCTCAAAGTTATGGTATTGGAAGAAAATATAAAATAAAATTTAAAGCTGTAACTTTCATTTGTTTGATGTTATCTTTGAATAGGTCCAAATAAAAGCCACTAAAGCTAAAAGTACCAGAGGATCTGTCACTTAAAGTAAGCAACAACACTTGATGTTGTATTTCATTAATATGTTGCCTTGTGGTGGACGTGGCAATTTACAAGTTTCCAGAAAGAAAAATGAAATATTGCAATCATTCCTGTCATGTTTTTTTTTTTTTTTTTTTTTTTTTCAACAAGTAGCACCTGCCTTCAATCATTTCAATGAAATACACCATGAAAAACAATCAGATCCAGCCCTGGTGCTTTTGCTCAAAAGAGCCACACCTGAGGTCCAGTAACATGTTCTGCCTCAGTCAACTCCAGAAAGATTTTCTCTGATTCTCCTAACCAGAGAAAATATTCAGTGGCCAACATCTGTGCGGACAGAAGCCTTTTTAATGTCAGAAGTCGCAGGAGAACACGCAGACAGGTTGGACATGCTGATAAGACAACAGTAGCTTAAAACAAACTCACAACCAAGCAGAGGTGGGCAAAGAAACAAAAACATTTTACTCATGTGAAAGTTGCATTGCTTCAAAATGTTTTCTTTTTTTCTTCTTTTTTTTAAGTAGGAATAAGATGTATGCAATAAGAGTAAAAAAAAAAGTGTTTGGTGAAAAGACTACTCTTGAACTTTGTGCTTCATCATAATTTTTATTTTTTGTATTTTGTTGAAGTAATGTGACCAGACAGATAAACATCTAAAATATGCGTAAGCCAGGATGCTATTACGTAATCCTGTAGATAATATATGCATGTTTGAACTGTGCAAACTACTTCCAGGCTTAAGATGTGCCGTATTATCTCGCCCTCCAAAGGTCATAGCAGACTCAGCAGATGCAATATAACATTAAAATAAGCTTGTGTTTATGCAAGAAATCACTACATGCTACATGCCTGGTGCATCTTCTTCTTCTCACTCGGCGTTTCCCTTCAGGGGTCGCCACAGCAAATCATCTGTCTTCATTTAGTCCTCTGCATCCTCTGCCCTCACAGCAACTAACTTCATGTCCTCTTGTGCCTGGTGCAAGTTTGTCTAAAATGTAGCCAGTGAAGTAGCCAAAAACTGGAACCAAGTAAGATTTAATATCACTTAACAAGAAGG